CTTGTTTTCCTCTGGAAAATCCAAAATATATGTCAGATCAAAAAGTAAAATAGGAGGTGCACAATGGCAATATGTAATAAAGATTCTGAGAAAGTTTCACTAAATTTCCTTCAGTGGTATGAGAGGAGTTAAAAAGGATAAGAGATGGGTACCCCAAAGCGTAACAGACGGATGGGACTGAAATACCGATTTACTATACTATTTTCAAGCGGGGGGTATAATAAACAAAATCCCCATATTGGATTGGTGCAAACCTAAATTTACAATCCCCACTGTATTTCTACTATAATTGTTCAGGCACTGTGTGCATGCTTTTGAAATCATGATGAAAATGCCAGGGGCCTGTTTCACAAAGCCTACTTAGGACTAAGTTATATCTTAGGAAGGAACTTTTTCCTATGTCATTACTTATCTGTTTCACTAACCTTGTCTTATCTTAAGATATTCCTAAGTTATGTCGTAACTTTAGGAAAGGTAAATCGATGACTTAGGAAGAAACTAAATATTGCGACTGCATATCCAAAATTTCTTATGGAAAGAGAGAATGTGTTTGGGGAGAGAAAATTCAATGAACTACTAGTAATGATGTGTCAATCAAACCTGCCAAAAAATTTGAAATTTTAATATCTTTTAAATGAAATAAGATTTTTAATTAATTTTTGTGTGAAATGCTATTAAAATATATAAGTCATAATATCATAGAGAAAATAATAACTTCATATCTGTGTCTAAGTACCTTTAAAATAGAATTTGAAAAATGATATTTTAGATAAATGGAAACACTTGTTATAGTGTTATTTATATAGATGCGTGGTTGCATCTAATTTCCTCTAGGACGTTATTATTGAGGGGACACAAACAAAACATAATTATTAAGCCCCCCCCCCCCGTGCTCCTCCACGGTCATGAGATTACAACCAATTATTCTCTCCGCTTAAAACAATGTATAGCTGTGCATGAGATGTTAAAAAATTTCCTTTTTTAACTTCTCCTTTTAGCATTTTCATATCTGTAGTCGCGAATTTGGGATTTTTTCTGGCATGACATTCTTATTTCATATATGTGAGAAAGCTTTTTACACAGCAGATCAGCAACTAACTTGGAGCAGTCCTTGGCAAAGCCTTTTTTTAATTGTTCTCACGTGTTCGATACGAAGGAATAATTTTTAAATTTCATTCAATAATTGACAAGTAGAAAAGTACAGTAAAAAACAATAACTGGGATCGATACCATATAAAGTGCAAAATAAAGTAAACGTATAAAGGTGGAACAATGTTTAAAAAAAATTAGGAATGGCAATTAATCGAATACACAATTGCTACTCGGTTAACCGCAAGACGTTCCGACAGATTAACTGGTTAACCGTATCAAAATACGCATTTTCTTGATGTACATAGTATGTAGATGTATTGTATACACAAAAAGACTGATAAAGTCTACATATATAATTATAATGTACTTGACTTTTTAAAAAGAATAGGGAAAAATTAAGAAAAGCAAAAATCATGTCTGAGAATTAAATCATTCATTTGATATTTTCCCAGTTGTCACCAGTTGTGTTGTCACCATAATTAATACTTAGTATTCATCACTTGATTTATACGGCACAGCTTTTTTGACACGGGTTTCCAAAATCATATTCACATTTCCCTGCCGGTGGCCATAGACATAGTGGTAATTGGAGGTAATCTGTAGTGTGAGCGATACCCCAAGATATGGGTCCACATCGGCCTAGTAGACCTTAAAGTATCAGTCACATTATCAGTCAGGGGCATAACTTGAACAATTTATTTTCAAAAATAACTCAAATGAGTCTCAATGAATTACTTCTCTTTGATATGACCTACTTCTTCCCAGCCTTAGTAACTCAAACACGTTATTTTTCCAAAAAAGCTTCAATAAAATAATAACTTAAGTTATTTTCTGTCATTCCTCCCTAACTTCAAACCCCCTGCACCAAAGGATTTTGCTCGTGCACCAAGACAAAAACAGATGTTTGACTAAATTTAAACCTTGCTCAATGCAGGAAAATTTCAGCCTTCTAAACCCTTGTATCTGTTTCTTATAGAGTTGTAACCTGCTGTACCCATGTGTACCCTTTGTACCCACTGTACCCTGAGCATCAGCTCCATTATTTTTAATTTTAACTTAGAAAATTTCAGCCTTCTAAACCCTTGTATCTGTTTCTTATAGTGTTGTAACCTGCTGTACCCATGTGTACCCTTTGTACCCACTGTACCCTGAGCATTGGCTCCATTATTTTTAATTTTAACTTGGAAATTTTCAGCCTTCTAAATCCTTGTATCTATTTCTTATAGTGTTGTAACCTGCTGTACCCATGTGTACCCTTTGTACCCACTGTACCCTGAGCATCGGCTACATTATTTTAAATTTTTACTTAGAAAATTTCAGCCTTTTAAACCCTTGTATCCATTTCTTACAGTGTTGTAACCTGCTGTACCCATGTGTACCCTTTGTACCCACTGTACCTGAGCATCCGCTTCATTATTTTTAATTTTAACTTAGAAAATTTTAGCCTTCTAAATCCTTGTATCTATTTCTTATAGTGTTGTAACCTGCTGTACCCATGTGTACCCTTTGTACCCACTGTACCCTGAGCATCGGCTACATTATTTTAAATTTTAACTTAGAAAATTTCAGCCTTCTAAACCCTTGTATCCATTTCTTACAGTGTTGTAACCTGCTGTACCCATGTGTATTCTTTGTACCCACTGTACCCTGAGCATCGGCTCCATTATTTTTAATTTTAACTTAGAAAATTTCAGCCTTCTAAACCCTTGTATCCATTTCTTATAGTGTTGTAACCTGCTGTACAAATGTGTACCCTTTGTACCCACTGTACCCTGAGCATCGGCTACATTATTTTAAATTTTAACTTAGAAAATTTCAGCCTTCTAAACCCTTGTATCCATTTCTTATAGTGTTGTAACCTGCTGTACCCATGTGTACCCTTTGTACCCACTGTACCTGAGCATCCGCTTCATTATTTTTAATTTTAATTTAGAAAATTTCAGCCTTCTAAACCCTTGTATCCATTTCTTATAGTGTTGTAACCTGCTGTACCCATGTGTACCCTTTGTACCCACTGTACCTGAGCATCCGCCTTATTATTTTTAATTTTAACTTAGAAAATTTCAGCCTTCTAAACCCTTGTATCTATTTCTTATAGTGTTGTAACCTGCTGTACCCATGTGTACCCTTTGTACCCACTGTACCCTGAGCATCGGCTCCATTATTTTTAATTTTAACTTAGAAAATTTCAGCCTTCTAAACCCTTGTATCCATTTCTTACAGTGTTGTAACCTGCTGTACCCATGTGTACCCTTTGTACCCACTGTACCCTGAGCATCGGCTCCATTATTTTTGATTTTAACTTAGAAAATTTCAGCCTTCTTAACCCTTGTATCCATTTCTTATAGTGTTGTAGCCTGCTGTACCCATGTGTACCCCTTGTACCCACTGTACCCTGAGCATCGGCTACATTATTTTTAATTTTACTTATATAGATGTTACAGTCTTCCTTCCACTGGACTGGGAAGCATCTACTTTCGTTTTCAGTAGGAATAAATAGTGTACCCTTTTTGTAACCTGTTCTCCATACATTTAATAAGGGTGTACCCTAGGGTACAAAAGTATCACCTAAAAACGCAGTACCAATTTCTTGCCATATCTAACTAAAACTATGCAAGTATTAAAAGGCTTGGTTTATAGTAGACAACTTGTTCCTGTAAGGTTTCTCACATATTTGTTTTATAAAAAAAACTATTAAATATAGCTTGAAGCTTATTTCTCTTTATATCAAACGACAAGATTTAATCAGTTCGAAACTATTTCAGTCAAAATTTTTCATAATATACCAATATTTTTAGCTATCAGAAAAAAAATTGTATGAGCTATTAACCCCTAATTATAGGGGCCAGCCCCTTTTCCTTGATCTTATATGAAAGCCCTCGTAATTATGCACAACTTTTGTTCTATATTTCTTACCAAATTATTCTCGGTTCAAAAGTTATTACACAAAAAGAAGCAAAATTTCATGGAAAAAAAACAACTAAAAATTGCCGTCACATATCTTCCGATCTTTAAGAAATCAGCTCATAATTTTATCGCTATGCACATCTACAATGTATTGGCTACAAGTTCTCAAACTTTCATGTAAATATCATATGTCGTTTTTGAGTTTATTAGTGGACACGAGACATCAAAATTATCAATTAAAGGGCAATAACTCACAAAGTAAGGCATGTATCAAAAAATTGAAAGCAGATGTAAATAGGTGTTAATACAAGGTATCTAACCTGAAAGTTTCATAAAAATCAGTCGAAAGGTCTTTGAGAAATCGCCTGTCAAAAATCCGGCGTGAAAAAAAAAAGCAAATAATAATAAGAAACAGTAGAATAACAGTAGGGTCTTCCGAAGGAAGCTCGGAAGACCCTAATTAACGAGCAGTATTCAAGATCAAAAATCCATAAAACATTTACAATACTAACAGGAGCAGAGCAAACACGGACCTCCAAAACATCAGCGGTGGGATCAGGTGCCATGGAGGAGTGAGAAGCCCCTGCCGACCTGTCACACCCGCCGTGTTCTCGTTATCATGATCGGTAAATAATGGAGAAATCCGTCGTCAATTCGTGTGTAAATAATGGACTAACAATAAGTATTAAAAACGCCAGTCAGCATTTGACTCGATAAAACTTACGAAATCAACAGGGTACTGCGACCAGTTAAATTCTTCGTGGAACGCAACTAATGTTGTTTGCTTCCATAGCTAATAACTTCTTTGCATTGTTATTTTTGTCAGATTCACGCATTTCCAAATCCTCGTTAAAGGGTAAAGGTTAACTGGGTAAACTGAAAAGTAACGAATATTTCATATCGTTATACAGAGGCACCACAATGTGTTTCACATTTTATAGAGAGGCGCCACATGAGAATAAAGAGTTTTTTTTTCAAGAAATATTGCACCAAAACAGATCTAAAATTAAGAGAAAGAGTACAATTTTATTTTTTATTTCCCCAATGCATCATATGCCATCTATATCAACATCTACATGATGAGATGCACACTTGCAGTAGGTCAAGTAAGACAGCAATCTTGTGAACGAAACGAAAAAAAATCTACTGACAGAGTGCACTGCCGTTCAAATCGACCAAATACAAGTAATGTATACAAATAGTTACAAGCCATTTCCCTGTCTTATTGACTAAGCATGAAAAGTGTGATATGTACAATAAGTTAGTCGAGCGCCATATGCTACAGCTTTTATATAAAGATATAATTAACTTCAGAAAATAATCGAAACGCAGCCAGTTACATGCACTGAAAATTGGTGACATTTTCCCAGATCAATGCCACACTTTCAACAAACAAACAAATATGTTTGACTCTTTTGTTCTTTGTTTGCATCGTTTTCCCTGCTGGATCCCTGATTAATCGTAAAAATAATCCGATCCATCGTCTTCAAAAATAACCGATCCGTTTTCATCCGTGGATATTTTAGTCAGGTCCGACCCCCAGCTTCTGCTGAATTTCCTCGTCAGTCGAGGTCGAGGTTTCTTTTTCCGAGATTTGATGACCTTATCAACTTGTAAGCAGAGATCGTCTAATCCAAAAAACTCCGCCTCTTCCCTCAGCATGTGAAGTTCCTTATACCCCTGAGGAACAATCAGACGGTCAGAGCGGAGGAAGTTAAGGATATACCTGTAAACGTTAATAAAATTGATATTTAAAAACTTTTTCAAAGCATCTATGATAAAGACATAGATAAATGTAGATAGGATGATATCGATTTCCTCACCATGTCAGGCAACATGAAAGCGTAAAGAATGAGACAGTAATCTGAAATCAATACTGAAAAAGAGTTCATTTCAGTCGTTAACGTAACGAGATCCTTTAAAAAAATATAGATGCAGTTTAATAAAATTGAACATAATAATGTAATGCGATTTAGACATTTCAACTGATGATAATTCTATTCATTTCAAGCAGAAAATCTCAGTCCTTTGAATAGCATTGTAAAGACTGAATCAGGTAATTATTTGATAATTTTTTCTATGATGTATATTTTTGACCTTCAATAGAATCATCCCTTTCAACATAAACTATAATTAAAAACTATATTTAAAAAATAACTTTTATCCCACCTGAAGACATATCCATCCCTATCTATAAATAGACTCCCTTTCTCATCCCTCATGACAGTCGCGTCCCCCGTGGCCACCCTCCAGAGGTAGCTGCCATATACACTGGTCAGTGTGGATTTAGCTGTGGTGTAAAATACTCCACCTACATTGAGCTTCAAAATTTTATCCCGGGGAGTGCGATCCGCCATTCGCTGTATAGCCATGTGGTCTGAGGGATTATCGAACTGTTTCAGCTTACCTGTATTTTTAGATCCCTATATCGTGGGTTTTCGCATTAGGTGATCAAACGCATTCGTGTAAATCCGTTTACTGTTGTAAAAGTACATGTTGCATCCTTGTTTAATCTTGGAAAATGGATTTAGTACCGCAATGTTGCATGGTTTTGTGGAGTAAATACATATAAATACATCCCTGCTTCCATATTTATCTTGTTCTTGATGGGACAACTTGCTGCTCATGCTGTTCTTTGTACTGTCGCAATGGGGAATGGGAATGCAAAGGTTTCAATGGAACTTGGTGGTAACGGGAAGCGAAGGAATGAAATTGCGCGTGGGCAAGAGAGTGGTAGTCCAACCATTACTTAATGTATCGCACTTTTTGAGTTCTTGTTTTCTTGCCATCCTTTGTCGTTCCCTGACCTTGTCATCCCCACTACTTTGAATTTACTGCGTTCGTAGTTGCCGCGCTTTGTTGTTATCCCGTTCTCCATTCCTCGTGTAATTGATCCTTGTATCAAGTGACCTGATCAGTAGACCATAGACACAAGTCAAGAGCTCAAAAGTCATAAAGCAATACAAAATCATCGTCTCAAGCCACGGCCCAGAATGGGAGAGGATCGTACATTTTGGCCGTTTGCGACGATGATACAGAATAGGAGCAGAGCAAACACGGATCTCTATCATCAATGGTGGGATCAGGTGCCTTAGAGGAGTGAGCATTCCCTGCCGATCGGTCACACCCACCGTGGGCTCCTTATGATCTGGAAAAACGGGGGGGGGGGTTAGACAAATCGGTGTGTAAATAATGGATTAACAGTTAGTATGAAAAACGTCAGTCAGCATTTGGATCAATAATGAATCTACGCTGACAAGGTTATTGTTTCAACCAAATAACTTACGAAATAATAAATTCGAACGAGCATGATGAAATCCTGGATTAAAGTATCAGTCACATTATCCAGCGATGGGGTACACGATGAGAAATCGATGCGTTTTTTATAAAAATGGCGTACCTACAAGTAATCGGATGGTGACTGGGGCCATTTGGCGAATCGGTGGGGTTATCGGTAGAAAATAAGTTGTAGTAAAAAAAATCAGTGATGTCTCCACCGATGCCCCACATCTCTCCTCATCGGCAACCCATCATTAACACATCTTTCAAGGATTGGCCAATGAAGTGTCCGTTGAATCTGAGGTCATCTGGGGGTGGTGTGCAACAGACATCGGTCGATCATCAGTCGATGTTCGACTAAACATTGGCCTATAGTCGACCGACGTACGAACGCTGTTCACCAATGTATGAGCAATGTAATATACATCGGCCGATTACCCTGGAACATCGCATTGGTTGCCCATCGTATACTCCATCACTGGATATTATGACTGATACTTTAAGGACTACTAGGCCGATGTGGACCGATGTTGGGGCATTGGTTTACGAAAAATTTATGAAAAGGGTTTTTTGATATATAAATACGCTACCGAGGAGATTTATTTTTCTTAAAAATTGTTCTGAATAGTCGACTATCGTTCGAATAATGCATTCGAAGGAAAATAAATATTTTGGACATCCCTAGTTTTTTGATAAAAATTGCGTGGTTGCCGACCAGACTTGCAAAAGCCCAGAAATGTATTGTTTATCATAAAACGATGTTCAAGAGTAATCGGTCGATGTATATTACATCGCTCATACATTTGTGAACATCGTTCGTACGTCGGTCGACTATGGGCCAATGTTTGGTCGAACATCGGCCGATGCCTGTTGCCCACCACTCAACCCTCCGATGACCTCAGATTCAACGGTCATACATCGGCCAATCCTTGAAAGATGTGTTGATGATGGGTTGCTGATGAGGAGGGATGTGGGGCATCGACGGAGACATCACTGATTTTTAACTACAACTAATTTTCTACCGATGACCCCCATCGATTCGCCAAATGGCCTCAGTCACCGTCCGATTACTATAGGTGTCCGGCCGGCAACTACGCCACTTTTATCAAAAAAACGCATCGGTTTTCATCGTATACACCATCGCTGGATAATGTGGCTGATACTTAAGTCTTATAAATTGTTCATCGGCAATCCTATTTTGTACATCTCTCAGCTGATTCGATACGCGAGAGCATGTTCTACGTATAAACTATTTTTAAAACGTGGTAAGATTTCCAAACAAGTTGCTGAAACAATAATATCTTCAGTCTCGGTGTGACCTCACTGACCAGTCGGCAGGGGATGCTCACTCCTCCATTGTACCTGATTTTGGGAGGTCCTTGTTTGCTGTGCTCCAATTTTGTATTGTTAAATGGACTCTTGAGCTTGAATACTGTTCGTTATCTCCATATTTTTCATACATACATGTAGAGTCTGCTCTAGCGTATCGAATATTAGTTACATGTACTGAGAGACATAAACTCCATATATAGGCCTTTCAACTGCCGCCGCTAAGGTTCGCTGTTATGAACGACAACTCGTTACTGAAACTTGTTTAGAGCAGGTCCGAGGTATCTAACTGTTTATACGCAAGTCAGTTTTTAGCATTCCCCAAGTGTTTCTTTGCTGTCTATAGAATCCAGTAGTTTTAAAATTTAGCACTAATGTTAAACTTATTTATTATATTCTTGCGGACACCGTTTAATTAGATATAAGTAAAATTTTTAATTAAAATTAAAAGTGAAATCTACCCTCCTTCTTAGTTCTATCTTGATTAAATGTTTATACTCGGTCGTTCTTTATGGCACGCCGATTGGTTCAAAATTATTTTCTGCACGACCTTAAACAAAAATAACACGAGTAAGTAAAAATTTACACAAAGTGAGGAAAGTATACACAAAGTTATTGAAATTTACACATACTACAGAAAAACTACACAATTAACAAAATATTTACACGATATAGTGAGAAAATTACACAAACGTAAAAACGAAAACTGCACGAGTGAGAATACAACATCGACAAATTAACATACGATGCATCCTCATTGCGCACATTTCATTAATATTCATTAGAGAACAGCTCAGGGTAGCTTAGATGCTTGAAACATATACATATAAATCTATCCTAAAGGATGAGTAACGTGTTGTTAATATTTATTTAATCTTTTTAAAAAGGATTCAGTCTTTTAGAATTCTGCTAGACTCTCAAGAATATGTACAATGTGTTTTATACATGTATAAATTAAATTAAATTTATACACAATCTTAAATATGGAATATTCACACCCCCGATTAAAAACATTCTACACATGTATATAAATAACGTTAAAGGGATGCATATTACCAGCTGTGTGTTTAATTGTTAGATTTTTAAACATGTTAAATTATTTTATTCCTCTATCATTGTCTATAGCAATTTCTTTTGAAAGTGTAAAACATTGATATAGTAAAGGTCTTCATAAAAATTCATAAAAACAGCATGTGATGTAATGCAGGGCAGTTAACAACAAATCAAACTCTTCTCCTCCACCACCCACTGTGTGTACTTTGGTAATAATTAACATGATTAAGGATGTGGATGCGTGACCTTTTCATATAGAGAGAATCCTCCCTGCTGGTGATGGAATGAAAGACACCTGTACGCTAATCGATTTATAGTTATTTGACACATCAATAATAACTTTTGATTAAGGATTACTAGCAATTTATACAGAGATTTTGAGGCAATGTTGCGATCATCTGGGTTATGGAATTTGACAGAAAACTTTTTGGAAGTAAACAGTAAAAAATAAAAATAAGGCAAATAATTGTGCAAATTTAAGTTTTATATTGAAACGATCGATTATGATTATTATTTTTTTTTATATTACTATGTATGTGACAAAGAAGAATATGTAGTCTTTGATTTTGAACAATGTGTAGTGATTTCATAAATATCCATGTAAATGTAGAAAAATTGTATGTTGTCGTTTTAGTTATGTGAATTTAAGCTTAATATATTATTTTTTTTTAATGTAGTTTGCTTTGAATAGGTAAAATACATATAAAGGAGTAATATAATATACAGGCACATATAATACCGGTATAGTGTCGCTTTTGATAGTGGGGAGGGGATTAGAATTTTTTTTGACAAATTACCTGAAAAGCCTAATTGCATGACAAGCGAAAAAACGGGGGTGGGAAGTGTCCAAACTCGAAAATCCTATTTCGTTCAGGTAGTTAGGCACCTTCAATTTTCCACATTCTTTGCAAAACACAAGTATATTTTACTCATAATTAAACTACCAAACAAAAAAGGGGATGGGCCTTTTCAGTGGACATTTACGATAGAAAAGAGTTATGTGTGCCAAGAAAAGAAAAAGAAAAGGGGGAGGGACATGGCCAACCTGATGCTACTGGCTGAAACATTTTTCTATGAATTTAAGCGTACATGAAGTAGTCGATCGAAATCAGGATTGTAATTCAGCCTAAAACTATAACGATAAATATTGTAATTAACTGTCCATATCCTGGAATTTGCGCTCGACCTAACAACATTTAAAAATTGGAGGATAGGGGGTCAACAAGAATATAAGGAAATTTTACTGTTGCAAAGTCTATAATACTCAGAAAAAAGTAGGGAGGGGGGGGGGGTCTACAGGCCTGTTTGACGATTATTTCATTTTATAATCATACAGTCATGTTCTTGTTATAATGGCCATAGATTTGGGTTCAAAGTGTTCTTACAAAAACTTAAATTTAGTGTTTAGGAAATAATAAATTATTAAAATTTTATGAATACGAATTCTAAATGTAAAGAGAATTTGTTGTTTTGGAAAATATTTGCAAAAATCGTGCTCTATTTGGTACATGATGTATTTGCATTTTTCAAGAATGATAAAACAAGTTCTATATTAATTCCATTTATTACCGAACTTCAGTATCCATTCCCATTTTATTTATGTGTAACATTGTATGTAGAGATGTATTTAGTAATTCACAATGTTTTAAAAGTCTTGGTGTGTCATTATGGTCCAACGATTTGAAAATTAGATAAATTTATATTGGGACTCCAATCGATCCACGAACCAGGTCCGCCACTGATCATGCGTTTTTCCATAGCCAGGATTATTTGAG